TTAGTTTAGGCCTATGCATCACTGAACCATCAATAACAAGGGATGGAAATACTACGACTGCTTTAGAGTGTTCTGGGATGGATGTTTGGGAATCAACCCAGGGAAGTGTAATACAGTTAGGTAAATTCAGTGGACTATAGAGGCCTGGTGCACCAATTCAGCCTGGCCAAAATGGGCTCTCTGACATCCGGAGGGGTCCCAAATTGCAAAAGGGTTCAGGCCAGGCTGAGTGAACCCACCGGTGCATGATCTGGTCTGGGGAAGGATGCCGGAGGTTGGCCAGCCTGGGAGGCACCATGGGAGGGCTCCAGGGTGTGTCCGGCCCTCTCGTTCAGTCCTGATCAGCTGGACCCCAGCAGCAAGCTAACCTCCAGTCAGTGTCTGCCCCCTGGTGGTCAGTGCATGTCATAGCTACTGGTCAATCAGTAGACTAACCCCCCTCCCCCACCCCAGTGCACATCATAGTGAGTGGTTGAGTGGTCTTAGCATATCATTAGCATATTATGCTTTAATTGGTTGAATGGATGACCAGGCACTTGGCATATTAGGCTTTTATTATACAGGATAGTAGTGCACCTTAGTTCACTAAGTAATGAACTTGTGTGTGTCCATGGTTAGAGGAGCCACCCAGGAGATGCCAAGTTTGTGTACAGTTAGGTATGTAGAAGGGGTCAGAGGGTTTCTGGTTGGTAGAGACTGCATCAACTAAATGTAGTAAGGGGAGCTGTGCAAAAAGAACAGTCAAAATAAGGACTTCCATACTTCTGGAGCATAAGATTAGAGGGAGGGGAAGTAGCCGGAATAGTGCGTGGATGCCTAATCACTGAGGGGAGTCGTGGTAAGGAATCTGGATTTATTATGATTTTTTAAAAATATATTTGTGATTTCAGAGAGGAAGGGAGAGGGAGAGAGAGAAACATCAATGATGAGAATCATTGATTGGCTGCCTCCTGCATGCCCTCCACTGGGCATGTGTCTTGAGAATCAAACTATGAATTCCAGGTTCACAGGTTGATGCTCAACTGAGACATGCCAGCTGGGCTAGAGTTCATTATCTTTTGAAGGGAGTGGGCATAGCTGACGACCTTGCTGTAAAACTGGAGCCTCAGAACCTCTGAAAAGTAGAGACATTTGCAATACATCTGGGCCCCTCTCTTGGGGGTCTAAAATTTTTTAAAGAGGTGCCTAGATGGAATAGTCCAACAACTGGGGTGAAAAGTTATCATTTACAGGCCAGGTTAGTAAACAGTGTTATTTCCCTTATATTGTCCCTGAGCCTTCAGTAAATGTTCTAGGATTCATGCACTCTTATTTGACCAAAATATTAAAGGTGATGAAGTGTCCCTTGAGGCCACTGTGGTGGTCCATTAGATTGTGAGCTCCTTGAAGGGAGAGGTGGTTTCTTCTCATCTCTGTGTCCCTAGTATCGATCCCAGGGCCCAACACATGGCAAACATTTGAAAAAGACTGCATCCCTACTGCCTAAATTGATGCTGGGTGCTAGCAGATGTTTAATAAGCACGTAGGGAACTGCTGAAAACTCCAAATGGGCATATATGTCTGGGGTTAAGACGAAAAACTATGAGAGTCAGCCACAATCTACTTATTACCAATAAGTTGGAAAAATGTGGTTTTAAAAGTTAAGTGCTTTCTCTAGGAATCAGGGATGACTCCAGCTTATCTAGCTGGAGGTGAATATTCATGCCAAGAAGACAGGAAGGGGATGAATTTTTGGGCAGAAGCACTCAGAGTTGTAGGTTTATTTAATAAATGTGTTGAGTGTCTAGTATGTCACTCAAAATATGTCAGAAAGAGCTTTCTGGTAATAATGTGAAAGGCAGATTGGAGCAGAGGGAGACATGGAGAACCCTGCTAGGAGTGAGTGTCTGACGAGGGAAGGAGACATGGAGAACCCTGCGAGGAGTGAGTGTCCGATAGGAAAACTGCAGTGAAATAGCACAAGAATAGCTGTCACTGAAGCTATTATCTATCTGCTAGACCAGTGACCTCTTCACCTTCACCCTTATCATCTGAGACAATGGGTGGGTTTGGTGGGCCCAATATGCTCTGAAGGTCCAGTCCAAGATAAAAATCTCTTCTTTCCACCATACCGGGGATATGGAAATTGTGGGACCCTGTTCTGATGCATTTAGCCTGGGATGACAGCACTGAGTCTTTCCATGACTATCACCTTACTCAAGCCTCTGAGCTTTGAGAGGTGGGCAGCCTGGCTGGGCCAAGTTTGGCTTCACACTAATTAGTATACATAAAGGAGTTTCCTACTTCTCATACGCCCAGACCACTGTGAAGCCGGATTTCCCTTTTCTCAGTTCCAAGAGAGGCCCAGATTCGACAATAAAAAATTTCCAGGAAATTCCCAGCAGGTTTAACTTCCTGATCCTCCTCC